CTTGTTATGATATTAAGGGAAATGCTTTTAGTTTTTGTGCATTGAGTATGATGTTGGCTGTAGGTTTGTCATATGTGGCCTTCATTATGTTGAGACATGATCTCTCTATGACCACTTTGCTGAGAGTCTTTTTCTTAAATGGGTGCTGGATTTTGTCAAATGCTTTATTGATATGATCATGTGATTTTACCCCATTTTTGTTTATATAACGTATCATGTTTATTGATTTGTGACTATTGGACCAGTATTGCATCACCAGAATGAATTTCACTTGATCAAGGTGTATAATATTTTTAATATATTGCTGAATCTGATTTGCTAGTAATTTGTTTAGGATTTTACCAGCTATGTTCATCAGGGATATTGGCCTGTAATTCTCTTTCTTTCTTGTGTATTTATCTGGTTTTGAAATTAGGATAAAGTTGGCCTTATACAAAACAGTTGGAAGTCGTCAGTCCTCTTGAATATTTTGGAATAGTTTGAGGAGGATAGGTTTTAGTTCATCTTTGAGTGCTTGGTAAATCTCATCCATGAAGCCATCAGGTCCAGGACTTTTGTTTGCTGGGAGTTTTATATTTTATTTTATTGCTGCTTTAATTTCATTTGCTGTTATCTGTCTGTTCAGGTTTTCTGATTCTTCCTGATTTCGTTTTGGAAGATTGTGTTCTTGATTGAGTTTTAGAAGATTGTGTGTTTCTTGGAATTTGTCCATTTCACCCAGGTTGTCCAATTTGTTGGCATATATTTGTTCCTAATATTTTCTTAAAATCCTTTGAGTTTTTGTGGTGTCATTTGTTTCTTCATCTCTTTCATTTCTGATTTTATTTATTTGGGTCCTCTCTCTTAGTTTCTTGATAAGTCTGGATAAAATTTCATCTGTTCACCTTTTCAAAGAGCTAGCTCCTTGTTTGACTGATCTTTTGTATTTTTTTTTAAATTCTCAATGTCATTAATTTCCCCTCTGATGTATATTATATCCTTCCTTCTATTTACTCTGGGCTCTTTTTGTTGTTGTCTTTCTAATTATTTTAGTACCAGTGTCAGATAGTTTATTAGAGATTTTTTTTTTTTTATTTCATGATGTAGGCCTGTAGTGCTATGAATTTCCCTCTCAGGACTCCTTTTGTGTGTCCCATAAATTTTGCATACCAGTGTGTTGATTTTCATTTATTTCAAGGAATTTTAAAATTTCTTCCTTGATGTCATTTGTAACCCCTTCGTTTTTTAAATTAAATCTTTATTGTTCAGATTATTACAGTTCCTCTTTTTTCCCCCCATAGCTCCCTTCCACCCTGATCTCACCCCACCCTCTGCCTTTACCCCCCGCCACTGTCCTCATCCATAGGTGTACAGTTTTTGTCCAGTGTCTTCCCACACCCCCACACCCCTTTCCCCCCCCTGAGAATAGTCAGTCCACTCCCTTTCTATGCCCCTGATTCTATTATATTCACCAGTTTATTCTGTTCATTAGATTATTTATTCACTTGATTTTTAGATTTACTTGTTGATAGATGTGTATTTGTTGTTCATAATTTGTATCTTTACCTTTTTCTTCTTCTTCCTCTTCTTAAAGGATACCTTTCAGCATTTCATATAATACTGGTTTGGTGGTGATGAACTCCTTTAGCTTTTCTTTATCTGTGAAGCTCTTTATCTGACCTTCAATTCTGAATGATAGCTTTTCTGGGTAAAATAATATTGGTTGTAGGTTCTTGCTATTCATCACTTTGAATATTTCTTGCCACTCCCTTCTGGCCTGCATAGTTTCTGTTGAGAAATCAGCTGACAGTCGTATGGGTACTCCCTTGTAGGTAACTGATTGTTTTTCTCTTGCTGCTTTTAAGATTTTTCTCTTTGTCTTTTGCTCTTGGCATTTTAATGATGATGTGTCTTGGTGTGGTCATCTTTGGATTCCTTTTGCTTGGGGTTCTCTGCGCTTCCTGGACTTGTAAGTCTATTTCACCAGGTAGGGGAAGTTTTCTGTCATTATTTCTTCAAATAGGTTTCAATATCTTGCTCTGTCTCTTCTTCTGCCACCCCCATAATTCGGATGTTAGTATGCTTGAAGTTGTCCCAGAGGCTCCTTGCACTATCTTCATATTTTTGGATTCTTTTTTCTTTTTGTTTTTCCGGTTGGGTGATTTTTGCTTCTTCGTATTTCAAATCTTTGACTTGATTCTGGCGATCCTCTAGTCTGCTGTTGGGTGTCTGTATAATATTCTTTATTTCAGTCAGTGTATGTTTAATTTCTAGTTGGTCCTTTTTCATAACCTCGAGGGTCTCACTAGATTTCTTGAGGGTCTCACTAAATTTATCGGCGGTTTCTAGAAAATTCTTTCACAACCTTAAAAGTGTGGTTTTGAACTCTATATCCAGTAGTTTGCTTTCCTCTATTTCTGTCATTTATGACCTGTTTCTTTGTCTCTGCATTTTGGCTGCTTCCCTGTGTTGATAGAGTGGCTTTGTGTGCTAGGTGTCCCTATAGGGCCCAGTGGCTCAGCCTCCCCAATTACCTGAGGTGGACACTCTTGGTGCACCCCTTTGTGGGCTTTGTGCACAGTCTTGTTGTAGTTAAGCCTTGATTGTTGTTGGTATCACTGGGAGGAATTGACCTCCAGGCCAATTGGCTGTGAGAATCAGCTGTGTCTATGGTGGGAGAACTTCTGAGCTGGAGTCACTCTTCGGCGCAAGACTTGCTTCAGTGGTGCTTTGGTGCTCACTGAGTCTGCCCCCTGATTGTGTCCCTTATGGATCTGAGGAGTTATAATCTGGATGGTCCCACTCTGAGCACTGGGTACACTGGCTCTTGGATCTCTAAGGAGGTGCTAATTTAGGCTCTGCTTGAGGCTACCCAGCAGGAGCTATGGAGAGATTCCTCTTCTTTGTTTGGGGTTTGGAGGTGCCCAGATGAGGCCCAGCTGTGAAGTAATGCAAGCTGCTGTGGGGCCTTGGACCTTATTTTGGAAGTTCTGGGTCTCTCTGACCCAGCTGCAGTTTGTTAGGTAATTTTCAGGTTGTGGAAGCTCCATTTTCTAGCGTCCAGCATTTCAGGTGGAGAGAAGGTCCAGGTGAGCATTAACCTGATCTATTAAAGAGTAGATGGAGAACTGTGAGCAAAAGACAGATAGTAGTAAAGGAAGCTGAAGTCTTAAGCAAAGGCCCTTTGTGTAGGGTCTGGTAGGTGATGGAGGAGTTTGGATATTCAGTGTGGAGAAAACCTATTGAAAAGTTTGAAATAATTGAGTGACAAGAGCTTACATTTTACTTGTTGCTACTGAGCAGAGAATGATTACTAGAGGGGAAAAAGACGAGGGAAGGCTTTGCAGTAGTGTAGAAGGGAGTTCCTGCTGGCTTGAAGTTGTGTGATAGCAATGAAAATGGAGAGGAGTAGACAGGTTTGTGACATATGTTGAAGAACCAGTTGATAAGAACTGCTTATGCGGAACTTGAAGAGAAAAGAGAAGCAAGGATGACTTCTGCGACTTTGATGGCAGTAACTGTGAGGATGGTAGTGAACTTTCTCATATAAGGAAGACAGAACAAGTTCAAAGAGATGAATCAATAAATAGTGCCCATATGATATCTTTAAACATTTAGTTTTTGCATAACATAGATTGTCAGTCCTGAGTATTTAAAAATACTGTGTGATGAACGCACAATTTTACGGAATCAGTTAGAACCTGGGAAAATGCCTATTGCTAAAATGGAAAGAGATTTAAATAATTATTTTAGACCATGATTTATTTTAAATAAAGATACCTCCAAAATATTCCTAAAAATACATGCATAACTTTTTCACACACATACACAAAAACCTCAGAGAAGATTATTTTATATTCTAATTCATCATTTTACTACATTTACAAGCAGAAAAGTCTTAATAATTTCCACTTTTAATTTTATATATTAAAACCACTTTCTTTTTTTCTTTGCATAAAGGGAAAAAATGAGTAATTTTAAAAAATCTCTTCATAGAGTTGAAATTGTTACTAAATCACCCACTTAAAATAAGAAATATTTGTAAACATTTATACTCATACATGTTTTGATTTTTCTGGAACTAAGACAATTCTTGGAAACTTAACTAGAGACCAAAGTTAGTGTGGTAAGTATCTTATAAAGAGCCTTTTTAATTCTGAGTAACTTGGTAATGAAAAAAGTCAATTTAATTATTTGGAAAAAAATGAATAATTGGATTTATTTATTTATTTATTTATTTATTTACTTATTTATTGTTAATCCTCAGCCGAGGGTGTTTTTCCATGGAATTTTAGAGTGAATGGAAGGGAGGAATGGTAGGAGGGGAGAGAGATTAACATCAATGTGAGAGAGATACATCAATTGGTGGTCTTCTGCATGTGCTCCTACCAGGGCCAGGGATCAAACCTGCAATCCAGGTACATGCCATTGACCAGGAATTGAACCCAAGGCCCTTCAGTCTATGGGCTGATGCTCTAACAACAGAGCCACACCAACCATGGCTGGATTCTATTTTTTAGAAATCATGTAGGTGCCAGCTTGATTTTCCTCTCACCAAACCTTTTAAGAACTTGGTAATTTAATTATTTTGGGTTGATAATTCAATTATAAGTTTAACCCTGCAGAATTTTGAAAGCTGTATATATATTGAACCTACTGATTAAAATCTGAAAATATGGCTATTGGACTTGAAATGGGTATGTCACATCTAAAACATTTTGCATGACAAATTAAATACCATTCTGTGGTTGAAATGTAGTGACCTATTTCCAAGTAATATTTTATTCTTTTTAAAAAAATCATTAACTTTGGAAATTTATTATTGGGATAAAAATATTTTGTTGGAATCATAATAAATCAGTATTGACAAACAAGTTCTTTCTTTCTGTCTATCCCTCCTTCTCTCCCTGTCTCCTTCCCTCTCACTTCCTCTACCCTGCTCTCCTACCCTCCCTTCTCTCTCCCTTTGTCCATCTTCCCCTCCCCCACTCTTCTTACACCCTAATCTCACCCCATGGCAGATGGTACGTGAACAGTACAATACAGCCACAGAAGGCACCCACATAGAGCGGCCAGAGAACCAGTATGTCTACAAAATTGGCATTTATGGCTGGAGAAAGCGTTGCCTCTACTTATTTGTTCTTCTTTTACTCATCATCCTTCTTGTGAATTTTGCTCTTGCAATTTGGATTCTTAAAGTGATGTGGTTTTCCCCAGTAAGTATTTTATTTTTATCTATCTATCTGTTTGTTTGTTTGTTTATTTATTTATTTTTTATTGCTGGTAGGCATGTTCTGGTTATGTTTGCACCATCACTTCATCCTTATTGTATTGGTAGAAGCTTTCTTTAATATAATTAATGTTTGTTTCCTGTCTGTTATCAGAATTTTCAGTAGCAAAAATACATATAATACTTTCCCTTTTTACCCTTTTAAATAATTTCAGTGTAAACTATATACTTCGTTGGGTTTTGTTTGTTTTATTATACTTTTTATTAGTAATTATCTTTACATGGGGGAATATTGTGATGATCTTGAGTTTATGGTTGGTTGAGTCATGATTGCTTAATAATTGTTTAATTCTTTAATTGGTAAAATTTTGTTATATTTTTCTAATCTCATTAATTTATAAATATTCACCATTCAGATTGTACTTTCTCATTTTTTAAAAAGCTACATGCTGACATGCAATAAATTCATGTCTACACTTCAACATTTAAAAAATAAAATATCACTAGTCCTAAGGAATTCATATTTTTAAACAACCTCATGTTTCTAAGATAGCTAGTTAATTTTATATGCTCTGACAATATTTTGTGTATTTTTTGAAAAAACAGTTATATAATGTAGTATGTAAAATAATTACAGTGAGAAAAAAATGCTTCAGTGGACACCATAGGTAGGTAAATCTGCTTCTCACATTCATCTTGAAGGTGTGATATAGGCATGGTTTTTTTCCAATAACAATAGTTTTAGCATTCAGCCTGAAATACCTTCTATTAATTAGTATCCTTCACTTTCTATGCAATAATTTATCTTATACCATAATTTTATAGGCTGTAGACACATTATTTTTGTTGTTGGCATAATAAACAAATATTTATATTTTCACACATTCAGAGAGGTAAAATACTAATCCAATCAAAATATAGCTTGAAATGTGTGTTACTATATTAAATAAATGCATTTAAAATATTTAATATAAGTATATATTATAAATTATATAAATATTACACATAAATATATTTAAATTGTCATTTCTTCTTTAAAATTTATAGCAACAATATTTTTACAGTATAACAATAATGTTTAGTTCCATAGGACAGCTTCTCTTTATAGATGCAGTACAATATATGGTATGCATGTTTGGTACATCACCTGCCTTTTATGTCTAAATTTAAAATACCTTATTTTTTTTGAGACTGAATCAAGGTTGAACTTTACAAATTATAAGCTATGGAATCTGTCAAGGAAGCCTCCTGACTAGAGGACCTTGCATCAACCTGTGGTCAGTCCCTCAGTTAGCATAAAGCTAAGAGAAAATTTACTGGCAGTAAGACCCTTAGAAGGGCCTGGGAGAAAGAGGAAGCCATCTCATAGCCCTGCTTGGGCAGGGGACAGCCAGATTTTAATAGTCTCTTGCACCAGTAACTGAGCTCCATCATGTCTTATTTGGGAGGATCAAGATTTATAAACTTAATTTTGTTGCTTTGGGTATTTCATGATAATCTAGAATGTGCTATGAAAATCAAAATCAAATTTAATGATAATAATGACAATTAATAAAATGTCTTTGTGTTATCAAATATATTAATTTTACTTTTTAAAAAGTTTTGTGCAGTGATAGGCAAAATTCTAAGAAGGCTTTTCCCATGACCTTCATCCCTGGTGTTGTCCTGTATAATCAATCCCCTTTCCTTGAGTATGGGCAGTACCTGTGATTTGCTTCTAGCCAACAGAATTTGGCATAAGTGATGGGATTGGGTTACATTATATAGCTGAGGTGAAGGGACTTTGCAGATATAATTAAGGTTCCAAATCAGTTTATTTTTAATTAATCAAAGGGAAATTATCCTGGGTGGACCTGATTTAATTAGGCAAATGACCTTAAGACCTTTGATGAGAGATTCTCTCACTAGCCTTGAAGGCATGAGATGCCATGTTATGAGGGTCTATGAGGGGCCCACTTGGCAAGGAACTGCAGGTGGCCCCTAGGAGCCAAGAGTGCCCTCTGACTGACAGCCAGAAGGAAAATGGAGACCTCACTCCTACTCCCACAAGGAATTATCAACCACCACGAAAACTTGAAAAAAACCCCAAGCTCCAGAAAGGAACCCATCCTCACTGATACATCAGCTGCATGAGACCCAGAGCATTAACCAAATTCCTGACCCATGGAAACTGTGAGATAGGAAATAGGTATCACTAAGCTACTACATTTGTGAAAATTTGTTACATGGCAATAGAAAATTAGTACAGTGTTCTCCATTATTCAAAAATGTGTTTAATTTCTTTTACTGGATATTGACCCCCCAAAAAACAAAACAAAACAAAAAAATTAAAAACTCTAAAATACCTAACTGAACTTACCTGATGATCTATATTCTTAGTCATTAATTATTAGAGAAATATTTAATTTTTTTCTTTATGTTGCTGGATATTGATATCTTTTAAATAACTGAGTAATCAGCAACAAGATAAATAATTTAGCCTAATCTGATAATGTATATTTTAACCACTTGCTACCTGGGAAGTTATTTCATTGTAAAGTAAATTATTCCTTTTTAAAAAATTTATCTTTATTTTTTAAAGTATTACAGATGTCCTCTTATTTTCCATATTGATCACCCTCCTCCCTACTCCTGGCCCTTCCCCAGGCCTTTACCCCACTATTGTCTGTGTCCATGGGTTACGCATATATGCGTATAAGTTCTTTGGTTTATCTCCCCCTCCCCCCCCCCCCCCCCCGCCTTCCCTTTGAGGATCTTCAGTCTATTGAATGTGTCTCTGGATCTATTTTGTTTGTCAGTTTATTTTGTTCATTAGATTCCACATATAAGTGAGATCATGTGATATTTGTCTTTCTCTGACTTGTTTCACATAGCATAATACTCTCTAGGTCCCTCCATGCTGTCTCAAAGGGTAAGAGATCCTTCTTTTTTATAGCTGCATAGTATTCCACTGTGTAAATGTACCACAGCTTTTTTATCCATTCATCTACTGATGGGCACTTGGGCTGTTTCCAGATCTTAGCTATTGAAAATAGTGCTGCTATGGACATAAGGGTGGGGTGCATAGGGCAGGTACATGTAAAAAAAATGAAACTAGCCCAGCCAGTGTGGCTCAGTGGTTGAGCTTCAACCTATGAACCAGGAGGTTAGGGTTCGATTTTTGGTCAGGGCACATGCCCGGTGGCGGACTTGATCCCCAATAGAGGGCATGCAGGTGACAGCCAATCAGTAATTCTCTCTCATCATAGATGTTTCCATTTCTCTTTCTCCCTCTCCCTTCTTCTCTGAAATCAATAAAAAATAAAAGAAAATAAAAAAAGAAACTAGACTACCATCTTATTTCATACACAAGAATAAACTCAAAAGGGATAAAAAAATTTAAATGTAAGTTAGGAAACCATAAAAATCCTTAAAGAAAACGTAGGCAACAAAATATCAGAGATCTCACATAGCAAAATTTTCACTGATACAATACCTAGGACAAGAGAAACTAAGGAGAAAATAAACAAATGGGACTACATCAAAATAAAAAGCTTCTGCACAGCAAAAGAAACCAGCATTGATATTGTAGGTTGGAGAGCAAGGCGGTTGTGGGAAACGGGGGGCGAAGGCAAATACCCCTGCTGCCTGTCTGGGAGAACCTTCCTGAGAGCAAGCAACCAGCCTGGACTTGAAAGAGATAAAGTACTAAATATGGGATACATTTGGAGTTTGAAGTTAAATACACATAGGTGTCCAAAAACCTGCTCCTGCTCCAGAAGCCTGCTCCTGCTCCAAAAGCCTGCTCCTGTATCCCATTTGTTTATTTTCTCCTTAGTCTCTCTTGCCCTATGAGCTGTGTCTGTAAAGATATTGCTACGACATATGTCTGCAATTTTGCTGCCTATGGAGTCTTGTAGGGTTTTTCTGGTTTCCCGTCTTACATTCAAGTCCTTTAGCCATTTTGAGTTTGTTTTTGTGTATGGTGTAAGTTGGTGATCTAGTTTCATTTTTTTGCATGCAAATTTCCCAGCACCATTTATTAAAGAGGCTGTTTTGACTCCAAAAAAAAAAAAAAAAAAAAAGAAACCAGCATCAAAATGAAAAGAGAACTCACTGTATGGGAGAACATATTTTCCAATGATACATCTGATAAAGGGTTAATTTCCAAAATATATAAACTACTCATACAACTTAACAAAAGAGAGACAAACAATCCATTCAAAAGATGGGCACAGGACCTAAATAGACACTTCTCCATAGAGGACATACAAATGGCCAAAAAACATATGAAAAAATGCTCAACGCCACTAATCACCAGAGAAATGCAAATTTAAAATGACAACGAGGTACCACCTTACACCTGCCAGAGAGGCTACCATCAATAAATCAACAAACAGTAAGTGTTGGCAAGGATGTGGAGAAAAAGGAACCCCATTACACTGCTGGCGGGAATGCAGACTGGTACAATCACTATGGAAAATTATTACTTTTGCAAATATTTTTATTATGCATGCTTATTATTTTCATTTTAATAGCTAAAAAATTCTTGGATACATTATTATGATTAATTAATAATTTCATCATAATTGAGGAAATCACTGAATATATATATGTATTGGTATATACTTATTAACATGAAAAAAAAGTTTATATTTGAAAAGATCTGTCCTTCTAATTTTAATAACTCATAACTGAGTTTGCACAATTCATTCATGCCCATTAGTTCAGTTTATCCTCATAGTTTTTGTGGCTTAAGTTTTTCAGACTACAGCATAATAAATACCAGAATCCATGAAAATCAAGAGCACCTAAGCAAGGTCTTAAGAGCTGTCCCACACTCATAGGTAGTACCATGAAGGCAGCATTCAGATTTGGTGTTTTTGCATCATATCAAAAAATGCCTCCCGGGGTCTTATGGGACCTAATAAATACCATTTCCCCACTCAATCAGAACTGAAAGGGAGAAAAATGAGTCAGGGGGCTGGGAACTCAAAATAACATCTA